AGACAGCCCACCAAAGGACTCTGCAGGGCCACGGGCGTCCCCCACAGCCTCTCCTATAGCGGGCGCTACATCCTGTGCTTGTTGAACTGGGCAGAGGCCCGAGATCTGCTCCGAACAATGCTGCCGGGGCAGCCTTGGGAGCAAAAAGGTCTCAATAATCAAAAGTGCAGCCGACCGACCGACTTTATTCCTATCATTGGGGAGAAAACCCAGATGCCTTTTGTGGGCTGGACTCACGCCACACTTACCTGCCCTTCTGAGTTGCTCCCCCAGGCGTAGACGTCCCCCGAAGAGGTCAAGGCGAGGGTGTGTTCGGCCCCGACAGCAACATCCTCGACAAAGATCCCTGATAAGGCTGGAACTTGCTGCGGGCGATTGTGGTTTCGGGCTCTGCCTTCTGGCAAGCCGATCAGACGGTCTGAAACGGGATAAGAAGTCCCCCAGGCTAAGGCAACTTCCAAAGGAGGGCAGCGCTCATTTAGGGGAGCAAGCATTGGCCAGGAAGGGGGGGGGCACATCTGTCTCTGGAAACAGTGAGGCCAGCATCACAGACCACTAACTACGTGGTTCACACAGCAGGCCTCTCTCTCTCGAGCCAGCTAGAAGAAGAGGAGGAGATTGGGTTTCTACCCTGCCCTTCACTGCCCAAAGGTGTCTCAGAGCGACTTACAGACTCCTTTCCCTTCCCCTCCCCACAACAGACACCCTGTGAGGTAGGCGGGGCTGAGAGAGCTCTTGACAGAAACGGCTCTTTTTCAATAACAGCTCTTATCAGAACTATGGCTGGCCCAAGGCCATCCAACAGCTGCAAGCAGAGGAGTGGGGGAATCAAACCCGGTTCTCCCAGATTAGAGTCCACGCACTTTAACCACTACACCAAACTGGCTCTCTTCTGCCCATCAATATTTGTCTGAACCCTGAGCATTCAGAGGGAGAAGGTTTAAGGGAAACAATTAATGTGCTGTTTTTTTGGATGGCCAGAACAGTTAGGAGAGCAACCCAGGTTTTGACCACCTCTTCTCTAAGAAGGCCAGAAGAGCCCTGCTGGGTCAGACCACTGAAGGCCCCTCTAGTCCAGCCTCCCGTCTCACACAGGGGCCAGCCAGTCCCTCCGGAGGGCTGGCAAACAGGCAGAGAGGCCGAGGCCTTCCCCTGATGCTGCCTCTGGGCACCGGGATTCTGAGGTTGACTGCCTCTGAACGTGGAGGTTCCCTTTACACACCATGGCTAGTAGCCACTGACGGACCTCTCCTCCAGGGCTCTGTCTCTACCGGGGCTTCCCTCTTTTCCCACGGCAAAAGCGAACAGATCCTCCCTCGCGGCACCCAACCGATTCGGCCCCGGAAGGTGTGCAGCGGCCGAGTGCAGCGCCCAGCTTACCTTGCCCAAACGTGTACACGTGCCCGTCTTTTGTCAGCGCCACGGAAAACTGGGTCCCACACGCCACCTTCTTGATTCCAATCCCGCAAAGAATATCTACTTTCTAAGGTCAAAGATCAGAAAGGCAAAACATTACCCTGTGGTGACAGTTTGCTATCAAACCAAACACCAGTCAGCTAGAACTGGATGATACCAAATGTATTTATTGACTTCAAATGTTCAACTGAGGTTCTGCTGCTGCTGCATCATCGTAGGTTTGCAGCTTACAGATACACACCTGAACAGCATACTCAACATTTCAACAGCAGACATTTTGATGCAATAATTCAGAGCAAGAGGTGTCAGTTAGCAGACACTGTTAAATAAGCAAAATATTGCAGGAGTGCTAATGTTTTAAGCATGTTTTTATTTTAAATTAAAAAAAACCTTTGTGTTTGTGTCCTTTATGAAGTTTATATCTCTGCACCCTGGCATTATGTTTTATGGCACACATGGCCCGGCCCAACAAGGTCTCACTTATGTCAGATCCGGCCCTCATAACAAATGAGTTCGGCACCCCTGAGCTAGATGCATTCTTGGGAAGTAGGACGGAGACCATAGCCTTACACCACAAGGAAAAGTGCAGCAGAAATGTTTTAATTAATAAATGAGTTGCAGTCATTGTTCCCTCCAAGCTGAGTCAGTGTGAGCTAGCTCACAGTTTTTTAGCCTCCAGCTCACACATTTTTGCCTTAGCTCAGGAAGGATGGCTCCAGAGCAAACTAACTTATGCATTAGCCAAATCGCTCTCTCACAACTTCAATGCCAGTAGCTCACAAAGTACAATTTTTGCTCACAAGACTACACAGCTTAGAGGGAACATTGGTTGCAGTGTCATGCATTCTTTTACTTGGAAGTCAGCCCCACTGTCTTGACTAGGACTTTGGAATGTGCGCAGGACAAGGGGTCACCTGGACACCCCATTCTTAAAGGCACAGAGGGGCTAGAGAGCCCAGGTCTCAGACTAGGGCAGGGCTGATCAGAATTCAAACCTGCTCACCAGTGTAGGTCTCGACTACATTGAGCCAGCCGAACCTACCTCGCAAGGCCGTTGTGAAGACGAAAGGGGAACAACGAAAGCTGCCCAGCGCACCCCCGAGGAGGGCGGGGAGGAAAAAGTAGCAACGGCACACCAGCCATTTCTGCTGCTCCACCAGTGTGCAGTAGCCCGCACGGGAAGCAAAGGGTTTCAAAAGCCCAGCTTCTAAACCAGGAGTCATTTTGGGATCCATCGGGAGAAAGCGTGTCGAGGGAGGCTGACCTGCGGTGAGGATTTGGCTGTGGAGTTCCCCAGGCCGAGTTTCCCGTAGTCCCCGTCGCCAAACGCCCAGACCATCGAGCCGTCCGTGGACACAGCGATGGTGTGGTTCAGCCCACAGGCCACCTAATGGGGGACAGTCAAGGTTGGATTAGGGTTCCGCCCAAAAAGCAACGATGCAGATTTCAAAATGCCTGAAACCCTCGCACATTCTGGAATGGACAGCCTCCGCTTAATGGAACTGCACCGCAGGGCAGCTGCCTGAAGGGAGGATGGCTGCTGAGACACGGCCTGTCTCTCTTCTCTTTCTTTGCTGTCCTTTGGGAACTTCCTCTGATGGACCTGCTCCTGGTGCCACCGCAGCAGACCACCCGGCATGCCCCCTTCCCTCCACGGAGGGCAGACTGGGAAGCAACCCGTCAATTAGCTGTTGTGGATTTTCCGGGCTGTGTGGCCGTGGTCTTGGCATTGCAGGACCTGATGTTTCTCCAGCGGCTGTGACTGGCAACCTCAGAGGTATCACACACAAAGATGGAGCACTCTCTGTGTCAAGGTGAGAAGGAAAATGGTAGGCAGGTGATTTATATCTACTCTGGAAGGTGGGGTGTCCTACAAGATAAGGACTCAGCCCTGCCCCACCTTCCTAAGTAGACCTAAATGACCTGCCTACCATTTTGCTTCTCACCTTGACCCAGAGAGTCCTCCATCTTTCTGTGTTATACCTCTGAGGATGCAAGTCACAGCTACTGGTGAAACGTCAGGTCCTACAATGCCAAGACCACGGCCACACAGCCCGGAAAATCCAAAACAGCTAATGGACTCCGGCCACGAAAGCCTTCGACAACATATTAAACCCCTGTCAAGCTCCGGTCTCCCTCCTTCCCCCCCTCTCGGCCCAGCCAGGACACTGTGCCAGGCCCTGGACGCTCCCTTCTTCCCTGGCCCGTTCTCTCCAGGCTCCCAGCGCTGGTCTACTCTCCGAAGGAGCAGGAAGGAAGCCGCTGTCAAACAGGGCTCTGATCTCTGGTGGGGGGAGTGAGTGTGGAGTGTGTGGCTGCACGGTCTTAGAGGCATCATTCTTCCAAAGCATCCTTCCACTCACAGAGGAATGCCCTTGAAACTTTTGGTGCCGGGTTACTGTTGTAGATAACAGGACTGTGTATTTCCCAGGAGAAAGGGGGGTAAAGACGCTGCAGCTAGGCAGAGGGAATGTGACATATGAGTGGGCCTTAGGAGGGGTTACATTTGAATTGCCTAGATCTAGAATTGCACCCGCCAAAATCTTCAGATCTGACACAGTACTGTTATGACCCGGACCTTGCTTATAACTCAATAAACATATCACTGCCAAAGGGAGCGTTGTTGAGAATAGCTTGACCAGGAGTCTGACAGCCACTGAGGATTCTCCTCGATCGCTCTTTCCTCACAACCTCTGAAGGTGCCTCAGTAGAGCACCAAGCTCGACAAAGAGGGCAACACCAAAGAGTTGCAGAAATCAGTACAGAAGAATGAATTTGGGGCTCTGGGAATCACTAGGGAAGGAGGCCCACAGCTGGCCGCTCAGGACACAGCAACAGTCATTCCAGGCTCTGGCCTCAAGCTAGGAAAGCTTTCTTTGTGGGCCAGCACTTCTACCTCTCCGATCTGATAGCCTTCCAGGGCGGTCACTCTCTCGGGGAGCTTCTTGTTGGACGTGTTCCCCAGCCCCAGTCGGCCGTAGTCGCCATTCCCAAACGTGAAGAGCTTGCCGTCGGCCGTCACCACCGCAGAGTGCTTGAAGCCGCAGGACATCTGGGGGGGGGGGCAGAAAACCAAACGATGTCTTATTCTCATTATGACCATCGTCTTACCAACCTGATTTGCCTGAATTGACATTCCTGCACTTAGTTGATTTCATTAAAACAATTCTGCACTAGGCTCTCGGCCACGGCCCAAGGCCACCTCCCGATCAACACGTCCTTGAAACACAGCCAGAAAGCAAAACCGTACCATCTTAAAGCAGTAATTTAAAATAGCAGAATAGTAACGGTAAATAAGAAGGCAGCAGACGGGGAAAATGTTTATGAACATATTAACAGAGTTTATCAGATATATTCATACTCTGCTATTCCAGTTATTGGGAACTGTGGTGGCTCAGAGGTTAAGACACTGAGCTGCAGACCAGAAGGTCGGTAGCTCGGCAGTTCAAGACCCGAGTGCTGTGTGACGGAGTGAGCTCCCGTCTCTGGCCTCAGCTCCTGCCAACCTAGCAGTTCGAAAGCAAGAAATTGCAAGTACATAAATAGGTACCGCTTTGGTGGGAAGGTAACAGCGTTCTGTGTGCCTCAGCGTTTAGTCACGCTGGCCACATGACCATGGAAATGTCTTTGGACAGCGCTGGCTCTTTGGCTTGGAAACGGAGATCAGCACCACCCCCTAGAGTCCGATTCAACTGGCTTTCAAGCAAGGGAGACCTTTACCTTTACTACTCCTGTTATTAGCCAGAATCGGGACGCTACAAGTCATCCTCCCTGCACATCAAAAAAGCGGCAGCCTTGATTCCTGCCACATATTCGTCATAGAGGCCTTCTCAGAGCTTTCTCCTTCATCTACTGACATCCACTCATTTGTCACCTCCAGAATTTGCAAGGTCGGAGGTTGATCTGACTCCAGGGCAGGCCGTAACCTCATGGTTTTCAAGTGGCCTCAATGACCAGGTGGACAGGATGAGCCTGGGTAGCAGACCCCCCCCCCCAAGCGAGTTCCTCTGAACATTCAGTTACACTTCCTGCATCGAGAACAGTCCCGTGTTGTGTTTCCTGCCCTGCCCCAGCTCCGCGTCACCGGCTGCCGTAGCAAGGAAGCAAGCTGGGGAAGGGGCAGGATTCAGTGCAGGGCAGCCTTCAACACCCACCCCTCGGGGGCCGTAACACCACAGAGCTTTTCCCCTAGTAAGACAGCTCTCCAGTGAACAGCATCCCACCATCCCTGATCTGTCCGTCTCCCTCTACTGCTGCCTTTCGCCGGCAGGTTGAGAACCTTTTTGTTTCGTCTGGCATATTCCCAAGAATGACACTGGCCCTCCTTCTAGCGCTGTGTGTTTACATATTTTAAATTGCATTTTATATTTTTAACGGTATTTTTAATTCGCTGTTGTAGATTTTCCGGGCTGTATGGCCGTGGTCTTGGCATTGCGGGACCTGACGTTTCGCCAGCAGCTTTAGTGCTATTGTCAGATGTAGAGCCTTTGTGTTTTTCAGGACAGGAAGCCATGCCCAGCGCTACAGATAAGATTAGAACCTCAACAGCCAATCCACATGCTAAAGAACCTCCTCAGGAAACAGGAAATCTCCTCAGGAAACAATGCATATGCAAAAAAACCTCCTCAGGAAACAGCCAATCCATATGCAAAAGAACCTCCTCAGGAAAGCTTCTCCATTAGCATGTTCACAGATAAGGACTCAGCCCTACCCCACCTTCCTGAGTAGATATAAATTACCTGCCTACCATTTTTCTTCTCACCTTGGCACGGAGAGTACTCCGTCTTTCTTTGTTACACCTCTGAGGATGCCAGTCACAGCTACTGGCGAAACGTCAGGTCCTACAATGCCAAGACCAAAGCCAGACAGCCTGGAAAATCTACAACAGCTAATGAACTCCGGCCGTGAAAGCCTTCGACAACAGTATTTTTAATTGTTTTAATGTTCGCCGCCTTGTGGACCCTGATTGGGTGGAAAGGCACCATTAAAATGTTTTAAATAGTACATAATAATAATTAGGCCAAGCTGGGTTGCCGTGTTAATCAGTCTGTAGCAGCAGCAAAGGGCCAGAGTCCAGAAGCTCCTTAAAGACTAGCAAAATTTGTGGCAAGGTAGGAGGTTTTGTGAGTTGATTGTAAGGTCCTGCAGGCAGGGACCTGCTCATGCAGTGACACACAAAAGCGTCTCCCCAGCCGCAAATGTTGTTAGTCTTTAAGGTGCTACTGTCTCTGGCTCGTTTCTACTGCAAAAACTAGGCCGATCACTTGTAAGAGGGACTAGCTACGTTTTGCTAGAGGAGGCATCTGAGACGAGGAAATCTGTGATCGTCCTTCACCTGCACCACTTCTTCTCCTTGCAGGGCCTCGATCTGCCGGGGTCGGCGCTGCCGGTCGCTGTTGCCGTGGCCCAGTTTGCCATAATCGCCGTCCCCCCAGCTGAAAACTTCGCCGCTCTCTGTTAAAGCCATGGAGTGCCCATCAGAGCCACAGGATGTCACCAGCTGGGTCACCACAAAGCCTTTGGCAAAAGGAGACATTTAAGACATTTAAAACAGCTCGAGCGTGTCCAGAAGAGGGCGACCAGGATGGTGAGAGGGCTGGAATCCAAGTCTTAGGAGGCCGAAAGAGTTGGGTCTGTTTAGCCAGGGAAAGCGAAGGCTTAGAGGGGACAGGATTGCAGTCTTCAAATATCTGAAGGGCTCCCATGTGGAAGATGGAGCAGATCTCTTCTCTCTTGCTCCGGATTGCAAGACTAGATCGAATGGGTGGGAATTACAAGGGAGTCGCTACCGGCTAACTATCAGGAGAAACTTCCTGACCGTAAGAGTGGTTGAGCAGCGGAACACACTGCCTCGGGAGGTGGTGGAGGCTCCTTCGCTGGGGGTTTTCAAGTGGAGGCTGGATGACCATCTTTTGGGTATGTGGTAGGGCTATCTTGTCGGCTGTGCTCCTGCAGAGTGCAGGGGGTTGGACTAGATGACCTGCAAGGACCCTTCCGACTAAAACGTTCTATGATTTATGATCAGAATACTGCTGCAGAGCAGCAGCGGTTCACCAAGACAGAGCGATCTGTAAAACCAGAGGGCGGAGTCCAGTGACCTAGACTCCCCCACTATGACTGCAACTGTGGGTGAAGGCAGGACACACGAGCCATGCCTCAACTCTGCCACGTTAAGAAACCCCCCCCAAAAAAAACCTCTTGCCGCGTGAGGACGGCATCCAACAGAGTGGGCTCTAGGCCACGAGAGCTCCTGCTAGGGTAAAAACCTGCTAGTCCTTGAGGTGCTCCAAGACCGCGTATTTGGAAGGCGGCTTGAAGCAACGGCTGAGGTTCTACTTCAAGAGGAGTCTTCCTTGAGCCTTCCTTGCTCTGACAAAGTGTTCGAAGACAACAAAGTTCCTCTGTGAGATCTGATGCAAACAGCTTCTGGGTTTTGTTAAAGTAAATCTTTGCGTCGTGCAACCACAGGTAGTGGTGCGCCGAGCTCCTCACGTGAACATTTCCCTCTCAATGATACCATCACGTCCCATTAAAACTGGGAGGGGGGAATGGGGGGGGGTTATGCCCCAAATTCAAGGTCTTTGTCCTTTTACCTTGAAGCGCTGATATCACGGTGAGGACGTGGAGATCGTCCGAGTTGCCTTGCCCCAGCCGACCGTAACTCCCTTCTCCGCAGGCCAAAACCGTTCCATTGGCTTGAATAACAAATGTACAGTTTTGACCACAAATGACCTAATGATGAAGGGGGGAAAGTGCGGCACTTAGTCTTTGGGTGATTTTTAAACTAAAGATCTTACGGTCAGACACACACTCAAAAACCAGCAAGCGTGCCCTGTCACTCACACATTTGGCGGTACGATATATAAAAGTCAGTCTTGTCATCTGTTTCACGGAGAATATATATTTTTATTTGCGATGTGGTTTCAATTAATTGCAGAGCTCCAGAAGAAGAGATGGGATTTATACCCCATGGCCCTTCACTACCTGAAGGAGTCTCAGAGCGGCTTACAAACTCCTTTCCCTTCCCCTCCCCACAACAGACACCCTGTGAGCAATGCTCCCTCCAATCTGTGGAGTCTTGTGAGCAAAAATTCTACTTTGTGGGCTACTGGCATTAAAGTTGTGAGCAGACAGTTTGGCTACTGTATAAATTAGTCTGCTCTGGAGCCCTCCTTCCTGACCTAAGACAAAAATGTGTGAGCTGGAGGCTAAAAAACGTGTGAGCTACCTCACACTAACTTGGCTTAGAGGAAACACTGCCTGGGAGGCAGGTGGGGCTGAGAGAGCTCTTTCGAGGACTGCTCCTGAGAGAACAGCTCTGAGAGAACTTGTGACTGACCCAAGGTCGCGCCAGCAGCTGCATGTAGAGGAGGAGTGGGGAATCAAACCCGGCTCTCCCAGATTAGACTCTGCGCTCTTAACCACTCCACCAGACTGGCTCTCCAGAAGCAAATAGGATAGCTGGCAGTGGAGCGACAGGCATCGCCACGAAGAGCAGAGGCGGGGTGTGGAATAAAGGCCCAGCGACGGAGAACACCTTTCACGCGTTACCTGCTGAGCTTGTGAGAAGGATGGCGCCGACACAGGTACCAAAACGTTGCGTCCGGCCTCGGCTAACTGCCCGTGCCGGCCGGCTCCCCAGAGGGACACGTCGCACTTCCCACCAAGGTGCCAATCCTGGGGGTAGCAAGAAGAGACTCTCAGGGAGAGGCCACCCCACTGGACCACCCCGAGTCCACCGTCGGCTTCACTCACCTCAGGCCGTGACGTCGCCCAGGACATAATCTGCTCGTCCATCCCGTTGATCCACTTCCCGTTGTCCTGCAAAACCCAAAATTTGGCTCAGGACCAAGTCCAGGTGCTGCGTGCCACTCCCCTCTGGGGTGGGCGGGTTGGTTAGGTCATTCTAGACTCCTCCTATCAAGTTCCACTGAGGACAAGGACTTTATGTCTTATCTTCTAAGGAGGAAACACTGCATCTTATGCCTTATTAGAGTCATTGTTGTGACGTCACAAACTTTATATTTGTTAAATACAGTTTATATTTTGGCAATTTCTGACGGTGTTTCTACTAGTGGAACGTGTATATCTGGGACCTCTATTCTTCACAGCTTTGATTTTACTGCTTTGAGACACGCTGTTTTTCAAAGAGGAAATATGCCACCGCATCCCCTCCCGCAACCACACCCCCACGTGCCACACGTTACCATCAGGAGTGCCAGCTCATCCTCCGGCACGGGCTCCAGGTCTGGGACTGTGAAGGATTCTGGGAACTGGGCCCCCTTGGCCAGCGCCTCGGCAGCTTTGATGGTGGTCGAGAAGCATTCCAGCCAGGCCCACTCCGTCGGGTTCCACGCGGAGGGATCGGGCGGGCAGGAGCGGTGATGAGGCGGGACGGGCGGATTGCACAAGAGCTGGTCGAGGTGGAGGCCCACGGCCAGGGAGGCCAGGCACTGCATGTACGGGCTGTGGACGAGCTGGTCTCCGCAAACCACGTGGGGCTGGAAGGGCAAGAGGGGGTCCGGATCGACAATTCAGCAACAGAAAAGAACTCGGCCTCCCTGAGCGTCCGCTTGGTACCGGCGGCTACTGTGGCTGACCCCAGGTCCTGGAAGCCAGCCACTTCTCAGCCGACTATGTGGAAACTCCGGGTCCCTGGGACTTTGTGAAGTTATCTGCAGCCCAGGAACCTTTTAAGGAAGAGTCAAAGGCTGAATGATACTTAGTCACCTTTTACTTAATGAATTTTCTGTATCCAGTTTTGAGTCGGTTACATTTTATTTTAAGATTCCAGTGTTCAGGTTGTTAGAGGAGATTCTCTGTGAGATAAACACTGGGGCAAGGGATGCTCTGTCTTTATGGTGCTTGGGGGGAGGCAACTGTGGGAGGGCTTCTAGTGTCCTGGCCCCACTGCTGGACTTCCTGATGGCCCCTGGTATTTTTGGCCACTGTGTGACACAGAGTGTTGGACTGGAGGGGCCATTGGCCTGATCCAACATGGCTTCTCTTATGTTCTTATAGGAACTCTCGGTCTGGGGCAAGGGATGCTCTGTATTCTTGGTGTTCGGGGGGGAGCAACAGTGGGAGGGCTTCCAGTGTCCTGGCCCCACTGCTGGACCTCCTGATGGCCCCTGGTATTTCTGGCCACTGTGTGACACAGAGTGTGGGACTGGATGGGCCTTTGGCCTGATCCAACAGTGGCGTCTCTTATGTTCTTAAGTCCTTAAGGTATAGATAGGAACTCTCGGTCTGGGGCCGTTGATGCTCTGTATTCTTGGTGCCTAGGGGGGTGGGGGCAGCAGTGGGAGGGCTTCTAATGTCCTGGCCCCACTGCTGGACCTCCTGGTGGCAACTGGTATTTCTGGCCCCTGTGTGACACAGAGTGTTGGACTGGAGGGGCCACTGGCCTGATCCAACACTGGCTTCTCTTGTGTTCTTAACAATAAAATATATTTTTTTAAAAATTCTTAATGTCTCAGAATGAATGGATTTGAGGGAACAATCCCTGCCTCTTAGTTTTCTAGGGACACCTCAGTCCTTGCTTGCTGGGATTAACCACCTGAGAGCCGGTCCTTTCGGTACCCCATGCCGACACGGAGGAAGTTATCCCGACAAACGGCAAAACGTTCGGCCCGTGTGCCAAAAGAGCCCAAGAATTACGAACTCCCTGGGCTGTCTTTTGTCTTTTGTGAAGGAGTCCCTGGAGAAACCTTTCCGGCAAGGCCTCCTCTCTCCCGGGCCCCGGGCCAGCGTGTCAGCGAAGATCCACACACACCCCGACCCCTCCCTGCCCTCCACTCTCAGCGTCCCCCTTGGCACCCCTGACCTTCTCGTAGGCGTACTGCTCCTGCAGCATCAAGGGCAGGCGCTCGAGGAAAGCCCTCATGCAAGGAGCCATGTTGAGTCCCAGGATCCCCTGCTGCTTCAGGGCCGTCCGGCACGTGGCGAGGATGTGGCAGGAGGAGATCCAGTCCGCTGTGCAGTTCACCACCAGCACGTCCTAGAGGGACACAGACAAGAGCCGTGCAGGGAAGGCGCAAGGGAAAGGCACGCCTGCGAGACAGCCCGGCTGTCACTGACGGCCAAGGTCCCTGAAATGGCCGGCTGCTGCACAAAATCATAATCCCCAACAACCACAACTGCTTCTGTTTATTACAGTGATGTGGCCATTTGCTTCCACCAAATCATATTCCTTGCCCTTCCTGCCAAGGAACTCAGGGGGAAGGAGGAGGAGATTGGATTTCTACCCCGCCCTTCACTACCCGAAGGCGTCTCAGAGCGGCTGACAAACCCCCCTTCCCTTTGTCTCCCCACAACAGACACCCTGTGAGGGAGGCGGGGCTGAGAGAGCTCTCTTGAGAACTCCCCTTGAGAGAACAGCTCCGAGAGAACTTGTGACCGACCGAAGGTCACGCCACCAGCTGCAAGTGGAGGAGTGGGGAATCAAACCCGGCTCTCTCCCAGATTAGAGTCCGCGCTCCTAACCGCTACACCAAACTGGCTCACACGCCAAACTGGCTACGTGCCTCCCGTTTCCCAGTGCATTCACTCCAGTCGGCAAGAAACCGAGTGCTGCTCAGTCTCATTTTTGAAACGACCACTGGCCTTTGCCATAGAGAAAGTTTAAGGAGGGCAGCTGGGTTGGTCGACAGTAGAAGAGCGAGATTCAAGTCCAGGAGCACCTTAAAGAACAACGGGGAGCTCTGACTCGAGAGAAGTCTCCTGCCCTGAAAGTCTTGTTGGTCTCCACGATGCTGCTGAGCCCCCCCACACACACACACACTATTCTACGTAAAATGTTCCAGGTGAGAAATCCTCACTGGATTCCAGGGCCCAGTGGAGCCACAGGCACCTGAGGAGAGAGCCAAGTGCATGGCCAGAGAGTGAAAAGCCCCTCACTTGTGGGTAGATCACATCCATATCGGGGTACCCAGCAGACATTTGGGTACTTATTGCCAGAAGGGAAGGATACCTTTGATCTACTGGAACAAGCAGCCACACCAACCTCCGGGATCCACACGGTCGTCTGTATCGCTCCCGAACCTATCACGACACTCTGCAAGACGGAGCCGTCCTACGGAGAGGAAACAGAAACCCACAAACACTCGGTCCCTTCTGCGCTGGCGTTTGTATTCCCAGGTCAAAGACGGCCTGTGTCTTTCATCCCAGGTGTAAGTTACTTTACGACATTCGCTAAATTTGGCACCAAAACTACCACCAGAGCTACTAGATGAATGATGCTGTGTGAGCGGAGACTCGGTTTCTGTATTCTCAAACAAAGACACCGGCTTACCCGTAGAGACCAAATATTCATCAGGCCACCGAGTCCGCCGGACACCAAGGTGAGTCCGTCGGAACTGAAGACCACCGTCCGGACAGGTGTGATGTGCCCTTTCAGCTGATAGATGCACTTGGCTTCTGCTAGCGTCCTGTATGCCGCCTGGAAATTAAATCCCATCATCAGAACCCTCTGGGTTGGTCTGGGTACCAAAGAGGAAAACTCCAAACATTTGTACCACTAAGCCCGCTCTGCCCTCTGCCACTCATCCTTCAGAGAACCTGTTCCCCACACAGACTTCCAGGAAACGTCTCCGTTTCTTTCACCAACATCAGGAGCTGTGTCAGCCCAACTGGTTCGGCATAAAGGCCGCTACAAACATTACAACAGGAATCCCGACACCACGCTAACACAACGGGGATTCCTGTAACACTGCAAAGATACAGGGCACTGTCATCTAGAGGACGGAGCGGAGTTGTTTTCTGTTGCCCCAGAAGGTCGGACCAGAACCAGCGGGTTGAAATGAAACCAGAAGAGTTTTCAGCTAAACATCAGGAAGAACTCCCTGAGAGTTAG